TTAAAATGGCCATTTAAACACTTATGGGATGCTCGGATCTCTATCAGGTATATCATACTTTTTCATTTGATTCTCACCAGGAAACTTGCAAAGCTCTTGTGCAATTTACAACTGATGACAACGAGGCACAGGGAGATTAAATAATGAGTCCAAGGTAACCTATCATCAGGGGTGGAAACCGGGGCTGAGTTCACATATGCATGTGAGCTCCTGGAGGCCAGACTTTTTTCTGATTTCATCACTGATGTATCCCTGTGCCTAGAAGAGTGCCTGGCAAATGGCAGCTGCTCAGTGAATGTCCTGGAATGACTGCCTGCACCGGAGAGAGCACAGGCACTTCCCTTTGTTATCTTCTACTGTCCCTCCCTCCCCAGTCTCCTCACTCCTACCTCTGGTTCCCATTCTCTTTCAGATGAAAATGGACCCAGGATTACAGCAGGCTGCTGCAGAAAGTTCCCTCTTGTCTACATCCTCCTGAAGGAAGGCAGCAGGGGTCAGGAAGTTGTTTCTCTAAGTCTGATGACTTCTCTTCCCTTCTTCCTTTTATCTCCTCCTTCTTTGGACAAAGGTATCCCAAGTCCCTGCTCTGCATGCTGAACTTTGGGCATCCTTATTCAAATCATTTATTAGATTATAGGCACGAGGAGTATTTTGACAGAGAGGTACAAGATGTTACAAGCACGTAACAAGAAGCCTGACCTATTCTCTGAGGTCAGGGGAGACCTTCTTGCAAATCTGAACTTTAAGACAAAATATAAAGGCTTTAAGACAAAACATACTAAGAAGTTCTTTGCCTTTTCCATCCTCATTCCACTGTAAGAGTGCCATGAAGGTTTACAGAAGATGTGTGACACGAATACCACAGCAGCAGACTAGAGGATCGGTTTGTCCTTTAGCAAACTGAAGGCTGGAGAGATTCACAAAAGTATGAAACAGTGATCCGTGACTCTTGCCTCACTGAGGTATCTTTGGTTTTGAAAAAGGTGGTTCTTTTTCATAAAATATGGTACTTATGTTAAATTATAGTCAGTTTCCTGTGCTATTTTCAAATAAAATAAATATTTTTTAAATTTCCTGGTTTTAGTTAATAACAAATATCAATAGTTATAATCCACATTTTAAAAAAATCTCTTTATGGTTTTTAATAATTTTTTTTTTAACGTGATGGCCCTTTATCACATTTTCCCTGCCCTGCCCTGCTATTCTAGAGTTGGAACCCAGGGTCTTACACACACTGAGTATATTACCATCGCCAGCCTCCTGAAGGGGACCCAAGTACACAAAGCTTGAGCTTTTCGTAAACAAACAGCAGGAAGGAATGTCCCAGTCTGAGAAATCTGGAATAGGAAAAAGTACAAACTAGGATATTACTTACAGTTCTAGAAAATCTAAGAAGTGCAATGTATTTGGAGCATGTTTGGAGCATAGATTGTGAGGGGAAAGGTGTAAGATAGAGGTCAAAGTAAAAAAGGGCAGATGTGGGGTGAGGTTTTCATCTTAGGTCAGTGGGAAATCACCAAAGGAGTTTGAGCAGGCTGGCACGGTCAGATTTGTGTTGAAAGAAGTAAGGGAGGAAAAGAAGAAAAAAATAAATGAAGGGGGCTGGGGATGTGGCTCAAGCGGTAGCGCGCTCGCCTGGCATGTGTGCGGCCCTGGTTTGATCCTCAGCACCACATACAAACAAAGATGTTGTGTCTGCTGAGAACTAAAAAATAAATATTAAAAAATTCTCTCTCTTTCTCTCTCTCTCACACACACATACACACACTCTCTCTCCCCCTCTCTCTCTCTCTCTCTTTAAAAGAAATAAGTGAGGGAGAGAGACAGAGGTGGGGTAGGGGTGGGGAGAAAAGGGGAGAGAGAGAAAGGGAGAGAGAAGGGGAGAGAAAAGTCACAGGCACATACACACACACACACACACACACACACACACAGGGATGGAGAGAGTCAGCAGAGGAAACTTGAGGTCTTGGTGTTTGGATATTAACAGGAGGAAATTTATTGTAAAACATGAATGACTATCTCATGGCTTCTTAGTCACACCATTGGATTTTAAATCCTAGTGCTGACCTACTAGTTCTGGGACTATGGGTAAGTTATTTAAACTCCCTAAGCTGCAATTTTCTTTACTTTCGATCTAAATGTACTTTCTGGTTAACCATTTTTAGATAGAGAAAGCTGGCAGTGTTCATTAAGTATCATGAAATTCTTGTGGAGATTGTATTAGCTAGCTTCATGTTATTGTAATGAAATACCTGAGGTAATTAACTTATGAAGAGAAAAAGGACTTTTAGCTCATGATTCTGGAGTTCTAGTCCACAATTGGGTGGCCCCTTTGCTTTGAGACTTTGGTGAAGGAATCAGAGGGCAAAGGTGAAGAGTGTCAACAGATTGTGGTATGAGCCAGGAAGCAGAGGAAAGAGACAGAATGGCCTGGGGCCCCATAATCCCCTTCAGGGAACACCCACAGTGACCTAAGAACCTCCAGTTAGGCCCTACCTCCCAAAGGTTCTATCACCCTCCAGTAGCACCTTGGGACCAACCCTTTACCACATGGGGGAATAGAACACATATTCCAACAATAGCAGAGGTTCTATCCAGTTTCCCAAAGCTCCACCTGTGGTTCTTAAATGTCACTGAAGGGCTAGAGGTGTGCTCTTCTCAAGGATTCTCTCTTTCTCTGTCTTTCTCACCTTGAGGGCTGCTCAATCATTTAGATTCAGTTCTTAGTATCTTATCTGCTTTTTTGAATTAGAAACTTTGTCCTGCTCCTCTTGTCTGACTACTGTACCTGGGTTTAATCTCCTTTTTCTGGGCTCCCAAAGCTTGGGTTAGCTTCTTGTATTTTCCACACCATGCTGTGGTCTTCGGCTTGGCAGAACTTTCTTCCCTAACAACCACCATCTACAGACTAAACATGGGAAGAGAGTTAGGACACAGACTTTAAAATGATTGTAAATAAAACCTGGTAGTAGTCCTTATGGAAAATCGTAGGACAGGAGCCTTGGTTACCAACTGTCATTATTTCCAGTGTCTTCTGAAAGGCCATTCACAAATGCATTGATATGAGAATTTAGGGTGGCATTCCTTTGAGATCTGAAAAGATAAGGAGCCATGAGAATGTGTGCATTTTGTCTAGTGGCCCTTAGAACAGAACAAGAGGTGAGTGGAGGAGAGCATGGGTTTGGCAACCTGCCCTGCGACAAAGAGCTTTGTCTGCACGCAGGTTCCCAGTTCCCAGGCGGTCTGCATTTGAAGAGAGCTCACTGTTTACCACTGGAGTGAAAAAACAGAGGAAATAGGCAATGAGTCAGGAACCCACTTGTTTCAAAAGGAATTTTTTTAAGAGTTTCCGAAAAATCTAAGCAAAATCAGGAGTTTGAGGGAAGATAAAGGAGGTGAGGACAAAGTAAGGGTTCCTGGATTCTAGAGGTATGCTTGCCTTTGCTGACAGCCTGTCATTCTCAGGATGTGGCTTTGGACCTTGAACCTTAATCCAATGGGGGAGCTAATTTTGGGAAAGAGCTTCCACTCTTGAAGGGATCATAAGATCTAGTCTGAAATTCTTTGGAGTAATTGATCCTCTTCCATTCCTCCCTTAAAAGACATTGGCTAAAGATGCCTTCTTTAATTCTTCATAGGGTTGGGGAACAAGAGAGGAAATTCCAGTATGTGTAATTTTTGAAGTATAGCAACAGATCAGCAAATGACCTAATTTAAGATCATGCACAGGTCTTGCTCCATTACTTGATTTCCGGATGTGCAGCTGCTCTGACTGATGTTCAGTTCCATTTGTCTAAGACAGTGCTTAATGCAGGACTGGTCTTTCCGTTGTGTCGACTCCATTGGGAGAAGTGCATGGTAGTGGTGTGAATGCCACTGAAAGGAAGGAAATGATTTGCTGTCCACAGCAAAGACGCAGTCATGTTCTGCCAAAAGTTCCAATCTGCAATTTAAGTTTGATATATTTGTTTTGTTTTTGTTTTCAAATTTGATCGCATAGAAAGAAAAATTTGGAAATTTTTGAAAAATCTTAAGCAATATATAAAAACACTCTGTAATCAGATCCTGACACACACACACACACACACACACACATCATATATCATTGCTCTCTGTATTTTAATACATAAATATTAAAATATATGTATAATAACTGATGGAACACTTTGTGCAGGCTCTTTAGTAAACTGTTTTTCATCTATAATTTACATCAAAATTTTTAGGTCACTATAAATTGTTATTTCTCAACATAACTTCAAAGACTTTAAATTTTTTAATATTTATCTTTTTTTAATATTTTAAAAGTAGTTTCAATTTTTCACTATTAAAATGTTTCTAATGGAAGTTTTTATTAATAATTGTTTTAAATAAATTTGAGAAACAGTATGATAATTTGTTACATGTATACAGTGTATAATGATCAAATCAAGGTAGTTAACATTTCTATCTTCTTAAATGTTTTAAAAATTTTTTTGACTAGCACATAATAATTGTACATATTTATGGGTACTGTATGATATTTTAATAATATGTATAATATTTTTGATAAATTTTGATTAATGCTTCAATCTCCTTAAAATAATTGCCTATAGGGGGCAAAAAGATAAATTAAGATACAAGCAGTCCATTCTTTCAAGGGACTTACTGAAAAGGGACTAATTTCTTCTAAATGACATTTAATTGCCTAAGAGGTGCCTATCCATTTTCTTCTTTGGGTTTTGTGTGCCTTTGTATTCTATGTGAGTCTAGCTCATAAAACCAGCTCTTGGGTCTGATTTTTCCACCTTTTTTCTTCCTGACAATATTGTGAAAGAGCTCAGTAAAATTACATGGAGTTGATTTGTTAGCCCTTTTGTTAACTCATAAGCTAAATATATACTAGAAAGCATTTAAAACATTATTATTGTGATTATAGCTAGTGCACTTTGGTAACAAGAAACAGGACCTGCACAGGGAACTAGCTAGAATTTGACTCATTATATCAGAAAAGCAGCTTCAACATATTTGGCTTACAAACTCTAGGCTGCACAGTATGGCAGAAGTTGTGCTTTGACAGCAGGATGGCTCAAATGGCGGTCATAACCTTGCATTATTGGGGCAGTGAAATATTTTAGTGGAATCACTGGCATCTCATTTTCCCCTTAAAATGAGTGCTGCCTTTTATTATTTGCCCAGTGGGGATGGCTGGTTTGCTCATTTGGGTGGCACACTCTTCCTCTGAAGTGAAGGCCACAGGAGTGATTTCACGTGAATGTATGATTTTCTAACTTCTTCAGGACCACAGGTTGCATTTCTCCATTCTAAGCAACTCTTGTAGAAAATTATACCCTTCTTATTGTCAAAACGATGCAAGAACGCAGATAAGTTTGGCTGAAGGTTTCACACTTATTGCTATGGTAGGCAGAATTTTAAGATGACTCCCATGACCTTTGGCCCTGTTCTTACTCCTAAGATTGTGTTACAAGAGGAAAGGGAGATTATCTAGGGAGGCCAAACTAATTACAGGAGCCCATTAAAAACAGAGACTTTTTCTGTCTGGGAGCAGAAGAGGAAGTCAGAGAGAACTGAAACATAAGAAGGATTCAACCTACCATTGCTGGCCTGGAAGTGGAGGGGCAATGTGAAAAAGGTAAGAATAAATTCTATAAAAATTTTAACTAAATCCCCAAATAATAAATAATGTGATATCATCATGGTATGTACAAATGGAAAACTTCTTAGAACTCATGGCAACAGGTCACAAGTGATATAATATATGGCATTAGGTCAATGAATGATACAGAACTACGGTGTAGAGGAGGGTCATCTAACCCTAGCTGGACAGGGTAGGGTTAATTTGTGTTTTCCAATCTAGGGAAAATTAGTTTTCCTTGTGATTTCCATGGAAAAGAATTAGGGAACTGCAAGTTCATTATGATGAACCAAGATGGGGAATAGAATATGGAAAAGGCAGCTTGAACTTTAATTTCCCCCTTCTACTCCAATTTTTAGGGTGATCATCTTAAAGAGGAATATTCTTGTCAAGGCTTTCTCTGAAAAGCTTCCCTTGGGAGTAGAAGGAGCCTCCATCACAGACGTTTATGTTCATGGAGAGTCTGTAAGTCTTTAGGTGCAGGTTAAGGTTAATGCAAGGTCCCCTTTCTGGTGGGTATCTAAGTAGGCAATCTTGGGTGAGGGCTTAAGGCAAATAATGGTAGCACCCCAAATTCACAATCTAAAGAGGGCTAAGAAACTACCACCATCATTATTGCTGCTATTTCTCAAATTCCTTATTTGCAAAATCAGATTAGTGAACATGTCCATCTTATTAAACCAAATGGTGACAACTGAAAAAGTCTTCTGAATCAATGTTGAATTGAAGCCAGGCATTAGGGACTCCATCTTTAACTTTACCTGATCCTTTCCTTTCTTCTCTGCACAGCTACCCCCTCTATTTTGTCCATTGTAGACTGTACCAGGAACTGCACATAGGCAAACTGATCAGTAAACAAAAATAATCACTGTTTTCTTTAGATTTGCAGGACTGAAAAACATCGTATGACTAGATAAGATGTGCACTATTTTGCCACAAACCTGGAAACTTTACCCACTGTGAGAAGGCAGCCGCCTGTCTGTGCACACCCATCGCCTGCCTACATAAACCACTGCTAAAATCAACTTCCTGGCAAGATGAACTTTGGACAATAGACCTCCATCTTCTCAAACAGATGAGTTTTTAAATAAACTCATTTTCCATGCCTCAACATCTTATTTCTTGATTTCATTGGCCTATAGTGTGACTGAACTTGGGTCTGGTAACATTATTTTATCTTTATCTCTTATTTCTTTGAATGGTATTTACTGCATGTGTTTTAATTTTTAATTTGATGTCTTGAATCAGTTGAAAGTGAATATAAACCCTGCATTTTCTTTGAGAAGGCATGTGATAAAGCTTTCTTACTTGTGTAGGGACCAAAAAGAATAATCAGTGCATTAACAGATGAATTTGCCCAATTCATGACTCATGTGATAGAGAAAACAGTTCCTCAGAATTTCAGTATTTTATTATCAATATGTCTGTAGCAAACCAATTGCTAGATCTTAACAGTTCCCTCAGAGATTGGGCAGATCCAGTTGAGTTGGTAGGTGAAAGGCTCAAAATGAAGTTCAGAGATTTTTCTTCTCTGTAATCCTTATGTACTTTGAGAAAAAAAAATTGTTTATCAGTTTATTAATATCCTTTTGTTGAAAGAACATCATATGAAATTAAAGAAATTGAGTCACTCTTGTTAAAGTGTCTATGTGTCCTGGGAATGCACAAGGAGCTGAAGGGCTCTCTATGTCCTTGGGAACCCTCTTTGCTTGCTTGCAATTTGCACACCTGTTTAAACAGGTGGAGTTGGCGCTGATTGGGGGAAAACCCAAAGTGCATTTGGAGGATCAGCTTTCTATTAACTCATGATCGATTCTTAGGAGTTCAGGGTGAGACAAAGGACTCAGACTACTCCAAGCAGAAGACCACTAGATTCATGGGGACCTAAAGGAAAACAAAGCATGAGAAAATATAACCAGCTCCATATCACTCACTGTCATCATGCTGTCACTCTATAATTGATTATGAAAGTCATTCTTCCCTCTGTCAGATAGTACTGTCCATGGGGAATTATTTGGCTGGTGCCAACCCAAAGATTTACCTTTATCTTATGCCATCATTGACTATTTTGCAGAGATCAGGATGTTTTCCTCCACTCAGAGATGTCTGGTTGAGCAGGTTTCAGTGTGATCAAGGAAATACCATTGCCCTCACTCTTGCTGTTCCAGCTGCCCTGGCAGCCCTCCTAGTGATGTTGAATGAGGTCATATATTTAATAGGGCGATGTCTCCCCTAAGAGATCTGAGAAAAATAGAGACATTTCTACATGCACCATTCAGAAAAGCTACAAGAAAGGAGTTTTAGTGTGCAATGGAATATGCACAGGATTTGGGGGGAAGATAGAACTTGGCTTACTGAAGACATTAAGAAAGTCACTTTATCCCTCTCATCATCTCTGATTAAGTAACAAAATTATCATGACAGAGTATTAGTTCAATAAATGTCAATTGTCTCCCTTTCCTTTTTTTTTTAAAAAGAGAGTGAGAGAGAGAGAAGGAGAGAGAGAAAGAGAATTTTTAATATTTATTTTTTAGTTCTCGGCAGACACAACATCTTTGTTGGTATGTGGTGCTGAGGATCGAACCCGGGCCGCACGCATGCCAGGCGAGCGTGCTACCGCTTGAGCCACATCCCCAGCCCTGTCTCCCTTTCCTTTATGAGCAACTAGTTTCAGGAAAATTTACTAATATGTTGTAAGTGCTCAAAAGTGACACATGTCTGTGTACTATGGAATAAGAAACTTTACATAATTATTTTACCCTTAAATCAGAGTCTTCATCTCCTGTCCTTCCCTGTCAGGGTAGCAGTCACAGGAATGTCAATCAAAGAAGGGAGCATTTCTAAGCTTGATGGACAGTTTGAAGCAAGTCAGAATGGAAGCTTTGACTTATTCACCTTGAGAGTCTGCATACTTTCTGAAACCAAGTGACTATTGTTTAATCTCTTTTGGAATTTTCACTTGAAATTTTTTACATGAACATTTAGAAAGGTCTTTTGTGAGTGAGGGTGATAGGTGTGATACTCTTTCTATGTTCTGTCCCTCAAAAGACATGCAAATAAATAGAGCTGCACTATTGAATAGTACCTGTTGGTTACGGACTTGAGGTTAATATCCTGCTTTCTTAAAATCATATGTTGAAATCCTAACCCATGAGTGAGGTGATGTTAGGAAGTGTGGTCTGTGGGAAGTGATTAGACCATAAAAGCAGAGCCCTAATGGGTTTAGTGTTCTTACAAAAGAGACCCAAGAAAATTCCCTCACCCTTCTCCCATGTGTAGACACAGTGAGAAGACAGCGTATATGAACCAGAAAGCAGGCTTTCACCCCTCATTGGATCTGCTGTTTCCTTGGTCTTGAACTTTTCAGCCTCCAGGACTATGAGAAATATATGTTGGTTGACCAGGTCACCCAGGTCATAGTTATTTTTGTTATAACAGCCTGAATGAACGGAGTCACCATCTAACTATTCACAGCAAGGAAAAGGGATATGAGGATTTGAAATTCAGGTACAGAGTAGGTAGACAGAGATTTATTCTCAAGGAGAAAAATGAATACTTATTTGTATTAAAGTTTCAACCAAGCTTCTGGGTATTCTGCTTCATAGAAGTCTCTAGTATTTTTGTTTGCTTTCTTTTGTTTTCCCCTCTATTTCATATAGTTGCTGTGAAGAATGAGCTAAGAAGTTTCCTCTTTGGTCTCCTGAAGCAATGTGATCAGAGATCTGCTTGATTTTTCAGGGCTTAAAGATCCCATGGAAGCCAAGGGACATTTTTCAGAAGCAGAATAGGGCCTCTTCCAAGTCTGATCTCAGACCTGGCTGTGTACAGATTGTGTCATAAGTTGTGTCCAGATTGTGGTTTTGGGCACTTGTAATCACTAACTTGGTTTTGGCGGGAGAAAGGAGTTCCTATCATAAATATGTTCAATTACCTCATGATTCAAAGATGGAAGCAGTCACGCATGATGGACTCCATTCTACCTGGCTTTTGTTTCTGTATGCCTGGCCATACTCAAGAACAGGGAGAATGTAATTTTAGTTTTCTAATTTTTTTTTTTTTTTAGTTTTCTAGTTTTTTTTTAGTTTTCTAGTGGTCGAGCCCCCATGCGGTTTCTCCTCAGACCCTCTTCCTATCGCTCCATTGGTCTGATAGAGTTCCGCCTGGGAGTCAATCTCAATACAGCCTAGTTCAGTGGCCTTTTAAATCTGCCTCCTTTTGGTTGCCACCATTGCCTGACCTTACAAGTTACTATGCCAACTCTTTATATGAATTAATCTTTGCAAAAGCCCAGTAACATATTTAATTTATTTTCTCCATTTTTCAGATGAGGAAACCAAGCTGTACAGACATTTCAATAAAATGTTGAGGATCACAAAATAAATAAGTGGTATAGCTAGTTTTGGTAGGAATAGGAATATTTCTATCATTCCTCTTGGAAAGGAATGAAAGTCTGACACATGGATGAATCTTGACAGTATTCTTATGTCACGTGAAGCAAGCCAGATGTAAAAGACAAACTGTGTGTGACTTCATTTACATAAGTTACATAGGGTAGTCAAATTCCTAGGGACAAAAAATGGAATGGTGATTGCCTGGGGCTAGGGACAGATGAAAATGGGAGCTATTGTTTTATGAGTTAGGGTTTCAGTTTGGGAAGATGCAAAGTCCTAGCTAAGGGTGGTTATGATGATTGCACAATTGTGGGGATGAACTAAATGTCCCTGAACTGTTCACTTAAGAAATGGTTGAAACATGATTTTTATGTTATGTATATTTTGCTAAAATAAATAAATAATGGGAAAATGAAATAAAAAACATTGAATAAAGATTGATTGCCCGTCAAACAGTGTGCCTTCAGGGAGGGATCCATGCTATGTTTTAACTTAAATCAGTCATTTTAAGTTTGTTAATGACGCATAATGACAAGATGGCCTTTTGGGAGAGGAGTCCTTGCTCTTCATGGTTAGACTTCTCAAGGCTTTGGTTCTCCTTGGGTCTTACAGAAGAGGATGAAGGCAAGGTATCAACTCTTAGGCTTTATTATTAGTTTTGTTCCTCTTTGAATCCTTTCAGCTAAACTAGCTTACTTTACACAGACTTCTGAGATGGTTGTATTATAAATTTTTAATTTTCACTGGTTTAAAGAAGATGGCATTTTATTTTCTTTCTTGTTTCTGGGTCAACCCCCCTCCCCCCCACACACTCTGCTCCTACCAGTATTATTGGAAGCTGCAAAGATGGCACTTGGTTGGGTTTCCTGGGTCCACTCTTCATCCCTCCCACTTCATCCCTTCCCACTCTCTCTAGAATGACTCTCCCGGTATCTGACAGCATGTGGTTGAGGACAAAGCCTGGCCTGAACTCTCTCTCCCTGCTGACTCACAGCACACAGATTTTAGCCTTAGAATAGTCAGCGATTGCCTGTAAAGTACCTAATTAAAGTTGAATCTTGAAGTGAGAAAAAGTGAGATGTGAAATTAAGATGTTTGGAATTATCAATGTCTAGATTACGCTGTTGAATAGGCCAGAGCAGTAATAATGTGACTCTCACTCTAGTTTCTGTAAAACTCACCTCCACTACCATGGATATCTGGAATATCAGGTCACTGCACAAGTCTTGCTTCTACTTGGTGCAGTTTTTTAAAAAGTGTAATAATTGTGGGCATTTTTTTTAGTTATTTAAAGTGTATTCTTAATGCATTTTGAGACAAAGAGGTTAAATTTGAAAAACTTCAATCTCTAGCACTAGGTAATATCATAAAATTGGGTAAAACAATTCTCCAGTCCTTTAGAAAATAGGAGAGTTGCAATGTGATTATGCTCTATTTCTGCTACTACAATCTGCATCTGTGTGGAAATGTCTTACTGGAAATGTCTCTTATGGAGACATTTGGAGAAATTGTGCCACAGGTAATTTTACCTCATCAGAACTCATCATAGTTAGTGGCTTTGAAAAATGAATGACTAATGTAACAATAATACATGTGGCTTTTAAAAAAATGTAGATGAATTAAGGAAGTGGATTGTTCATGTGTATATTACAAATAAACAGATAATCACATAAAAGATATTGCAAAAATGTCAATATGGATGCATGTCTAGGGTAAATAAATTATATTTAAAAATTAAAAGGGCAAACATGGTGAATTGTGGAAAATTATAATGTAACCTCATAATAGCCATCTTGTCTAGACATTTTTTGGCCTAGGCATGGGCATGTTAGACTTTTACTTCTGTTTCAAGACATTTTTGACCACTGCAACAATATTTGGAGTGAGGCCCTTACTCTCACAAAATCCAATGAAGAAAAAACCTGTATATCAACTGGTGCTTGTTAGGACTGAGTTGTGCCTACAAACATCTCCTAAGTGACTTCTGAGGGAATAATCTTCCTCTCACTTTGCTCTTTTTTTGTATTCCACGTGTAGTGTTACTGCTCATCTCTGTTTTCTTATCCTGTGCTTTGCTTTTCTCTCCCTGTTACATTTTCTTCAAGTTCATGATAGAAAAATAATGGAAGAACCCAGTCATTAGGTACATTCCCAGAAGAATCCTGAAAGACACCTACCTAGAGTCCAGGGTATCAAAGGCTGATATTTGTAAAGAGCTTATGTCTGTATAATTTAGTGGGAAAATTTCTCATAGGCTTCATCATCTCAGATAACTAACCTTTTCTAGGATTTCTGTTTTCAACCTCTACATGGGGGGATAAGACTTTGGAGAGTGGGGCTATTGATTAAATGAGATTAGATATGAAAAAATAATTGGCATAGTATACACACATTTTAGATGCTCAATATTTGTTTCCCATCCTCTGTGGCAGATCCTTTCGTGGGAAGAGGAACTTTGTACTGCTATAGAATGCTCTACAGCACTCTAAAATACTCCCAGAATATACCAGAACTCTTGATGTTTCCAGAGGTTCTTTCTCTTCAGGAACACAAAGTGTATGTCAAAGGTACAGAATGACTGTTGCAGATGACTCAGAAGGCAGAGAAAGGGAACCGAATGTCAGGCATAAGCACCCAGAGCCTGCATACTTTCTCTAGCTCCAATCCAAGAAAGAGCAGCTGTGAGAGAGAAACTGCAGGGCATTTGATCTTTTCTTCTTGATGGAATTTCTCCCATCAAGTTTTTTTTTTTTTGTGTGTGTGTGTGAATATTTCTGCATATTTCACAGAACCTAGGTCTCCCTGGTTCTTGCCATCTGATACCACTGACTGTCCTTTTGAGACAATCCTCAGCCCTAACCCTAGAAAAAATTCTTCTCTGCCAATCAAGAAAAAATATAAAGAAGTTTTAGACTTTGCCTTCCACTATGAGGGTGTTGACATTGAAAAAGATGAAAAACCGAGACCCAGGGAGCCTCAGTAGGGCTGCTTTCCACAGCTCAGGCATGTTGGAAGGAAAGCCAGATGAGGTTCAGCTCCAGGGCTCTGTGTGAGAGAGGATCAGAAAGTAAGAACCAGATAGTGATGGTGACAGGGGCTGCTGCCCTCCAGCCCTTCCCATACTGGTTCACTAACTGTTTGCTATAACAACTCTTGGAAAGTGATACCACTTTTCAGACAATTCTGTTTTAGAGTATAATGATTGTTTTTACTCCACAACTCACAAAAAAAAAAAAAAAAGAATAAAATTGATATTTTGACGTGATTGTTTTAGACAGACACACTCAGCCCAACAGTTTTTAATCAGAGAATCTCATATGGGACAAATTTGAATTACACACCACATAACCAAACATTCGGCTTTGCCTGTGTACATGAAGTGAGAAGGATGAAAGATAGCATCTTCTAAGACATTTCAATCTGTTGATTACACGCATTATTTCAACATGTTTTGAAGTACTTTGTTGTTTTTCTAATACTGTAAACTTGCTTTTAAGGGAATTTTGGGCACAGCATGAGCCTCACAAAATTTGAAAAATCAGAAGTGAAACTGATGTGGCAGGAAAATTACACTTTGCACACAAATGGCTTTCCTCCACAATCAAGTCTGTCTGTCTCCCTGGTGAGCACACTAGACCTTCATGATACTATATCTTATTTACAAACTACTTTTACTTAATTCTGGATGTTTTAAAATTAGATAGATAAAATCTGCATTTATTCTTCAACTGATCTTTTTTTTTTCTATTTGTGATAATTATTTGGGAAGAATATGTTAGGATGGATCATATTATTATTTTCCCTGTTAAATTTGATTAAAAAGTGCTTTAATGGATTTTCAATTGGTTACCAAGCCTTCAAGAATGAATTAAAAATTTCAGGTAAGGAATACAGGTGTGTTTATTACAGATCCCTGACAGGTTTTCCCCTTCTATGTCCAATATAACGTTCCCAACTGTATTTTTGGTATAGTCACTGCTATAAACTCTAATGTTAAATGAATGATTATCGACTTACGTAAGGAAGAAAAGCAGTATAAGGTCAGGTTCTTCTGACCCAGCATGGTAGTAAGCCCGGAGGGGATAGGACCTCAAGAAGTTATGAAATTCATCTTTCAACATTCATTCATGAGTTAAAGCAAATAACAGATAAAAACTCCATTCGGGGCACATTGTGTGTAGCTGCATTTGAATAAATAAGAGTTCCACAATCTGTATTATTATAGTTTGCTTTATTGATTTAGGGAAACTGAGGCTCAGAGAGTTAACACATTTGTTAACTCTGTCTCGCTGTCCCCTCTACCCCATTCTACATGGAATTTAAAGCAATGTTTCAATCTACCTTGCTTAAGTTTGCCTAACTAAATGTGACCTCACTGATGTGCTAGAGTTGAGAAGCACTCTGTTCTCCAATTCCTTAAGATTCTGGAAATTCTACAAGTGCTTCCTGTGTAGCCAGTCAGGGAAAAGTGATCATTTCACAGCAGGACAGGCCTCTAGGGGTCCTAATGACACAGGAGGATTCCTTTACTCCCGTCAGGAGCTTGAGGGACCCACATAACCCTGGAAATGACTGAGATGAGCTTTTTCTGGCCTTGATATTCTTGAAAGAGTTGGAGCTACTTCCTGAGTGAAATTAGACATTCCAGGAAAACTAAGCCAACCTAAAGTTCAAAAAAAGTTTCTAAATAACTCTCTCCTCATATGAATCTCATTTATTAAGGCAGCTATAAAGACCCTTTGTTATCAACCATGGTGGGACTATCAGAGGAAAGAAGTCAGTTAGGGCAGGAAGTAGTTCCTGAGTACTCAGCTGTTTGGGGACGAGGCACTTCCACATCAAGTTAATCTGAACAACAGGCACCTGGCAGGTGATGGTAATGAGGGAGTGGATTGATGTCCTGGCTGGGAAACACTGGGAAGTGTCCTTGCAGCCTGTGGTGAATTAGGGGTCACACATCTAAGTATTGGGCTACTATTCCCCTTTGTTGGAGTCTCTGATTTTTTTTTTTTGAAGTTGCAAGTTTGGATTTTAAAATTAATATGTCATTATTTTTTAATCTGAAAGGTATTTTTTTAAGGATTGTTTTGATCAAGCAAAAGAGTCCTGGGTTGATTTTGGATTTGAAACATCAAGAATCTTGACAAGGACCTAATAAATATTTCCTAATCATCTTTGTAAAAGATGGGACAAATGAACTTGCCTACTTTTTATTTTTGTGTCTCAGAATCATTCAAGCTTTCCATTGAGTAGGAAAGGATAAAATGAAAAAAGATACCATTTCTTAAAAAAAAAAAAAAAGGATTATTTAGGACAGTTGAAATGTGTGTATCTGAAACAGGAGGGATTTCAAGAAATGGCATAGAATATCAGATGGTCCTTTCAAAACCAAATTCATAATTGATAAATCATATGTGCTCTAACTTTTAAGATGTTCTCTCTATTTGGGCAGAATGAACAGAGATTTCATCAAGACTACATTGGTAGGTGTAAATCCTTTGTTGTTGTTGTTGCCCTTGAATCTGAGGGCCCTTTCTTCAGAGAAAAGGATCTGAGAATATTTTTTAAAAGCAGCCCTCCTAATCTTACAAGATTTTATTTAAGGTTTGATAGGAACCACATTTAAACATGTGCTTTACTATTGTTCATATGGCTTTGAAAGCCCTGTGGAAGTCAACACAATTATTAAACAGTCTTATCATAACCAAATACAATCTTTTGAAGAAAAATGCTGAAATCCAGAAAAATGTCTCCTCTCTCCTAGAATCCATGATAGGCCACAATTGATGGTGAAGAACCCGCTAAACAGGATGAAAAGTATTCTGCAAAGGTATAGTGCACATGCTGATTTAAGGGAACTTCAACTTCTCTGCCATTGTACATGGGAAATTTATAGTCACTAGTTCTCCTGGAGACCAAAGGCATAGTGTATGTAAAAGTCATTTTAGACTTTTGTTTGCTTTGTATAATATATTTTCTCCTCACCATAATATTTTCTTATGTATATTCCCACCAGCTAAATAAGGATATTAGCATATAATTTCTTATTATCTCCATCAGAGGTTGTGAGTCTCAAGTCACAGAATCAGCAATGCCAAAAAAATAATGTACCAAATTTCTGAAATTCAACTTAATTTTAAATATGACTCTGTTCATTTGGCTGGGTTGGTGGGATAATCCACTTCACCTCACTTGTTCCTGGGGATGCCTCTAAGAAAACAAAGTCAGATACTAAAGTGATAAGGACTGACTTGAATCAATAACAATTGCAATAGGGCAGACAACCCAGGGTGAATTGAGTTGAATTTTGATTTGTGCAAAGGTAACTAGGTGAAATGAGGGGAGAATGAGACAATAGTGATGAGGAATAGTAAGGACTTGGGAAATTATGGAAGTGGAAACTCTCAAAAAGCAGGAAATGGGTAGGAACTGTCAATGCGGCCAGGGCTTTTGGTTTTGCTATCTGGCAGCTGTGGAAATTGGGCTCCTACCATCCACAGACTGGGAGACAGAGGCCTTAACTTTAGATGTTGGCAAGAATAGGCAATAAAGTCTTTTTGCAGCTTTGAGAATCTTCTGGAAGGAATTTAAGGAGGCTAGACTCATCATGTTAGGTACACGTGTGTGTGTGTGTGTGCATGTGTATTGGGGCTGTGGACAAAACCAACTGTGCTGAGAGTTTATAGTTTCTACACACCAGGGTTGAGTCAAGAAGAGGGCTTAGGAGTCTGAATATAGTCAAGGAGAGTCTGTAACCTCTCCTACTGGGGTCATGTCAATATTCCAGAATCATCCATTTCAAAGCATTGAAAATTAAGACAATAGAGTGTTGGGATGAGTCACTGCTATTCATCTCATGGCTACCCTGTTCTATTGTCCCTGTTGACAAGCCCCTTCAGGTCCAGGGTTCTTGCTGTTCCTTGCACTCTCAGCACAAAGGAATGTTCTGCCCAGTGGCCATTGACTCACCCCATAGAGAAAACTGGAGGTCATCTCTGTAATACTGCCATGAAGAAGGACCAGGGTCTTGCAGACTGCCTCTAGCAAAGGCAGTCTTCTCTTTCAGTTTAGAGGGGAAAACTCCTGTAACTCCTCAATTTTATTTAAGCTTCTGTGGTATTTCCTTCAAGCTCTCTCCTGCAATGAGCATAAGCCACTGAAGAAACAATCCAGGAAGCTTTGCAGGTTCCTTCTATTTCTGCTCAGTCATTATCAACATCTCTTCCTGAGACTTTGAAGAACAGAGCCTGGATAGACCAGGGAAAAGGGGAAAAACAAAAGTCAATATCTAAGAATGCTTTCCAGTCTCATACACACACACTAGTTGGAAAGAGGAATCTGAATTTAGGTTTAAAAGTTCTTCCTGTGGACATCACAAGGCCTAGGTGGGGCTCAGCTCTGTATCACTGATAATTCACTTAGGCTGTGTCAGAGGCAGGACAACAGGCTGGATCAGAAGATGCGTAGTCTAGATTCTGTCTTGCCCACTGTCCCCAGACACCAGTCCTTACCTGTGATACTTCTTCTAGCGATCACATTTTAACTTATGGGAATACGTAATCCTCATGATAGTAAAGGTACAAGCAGTAGGTAACTTGTCAGGTGGGTTGACACCTTAATCATGCAACTCACGATTTTTATACATATAAAGAGGAAATTACTTGGGCCTAGTACTGAATCATACGGCTATTTCAACTCTCAGAAAAAGTCAGTCAGACCAGTTACTAATGTCAAAGGTTACTTTAACACAGTACTTTCCTGATTGAATCTTTGGCTGTTATTGTATAGTACAAATGTTCTATTCTCTGACACAAATGGGGCATCACCTTGCCTTTGGCAAAAGCAATTGGCACCTGACCACATAGCTTCTTTTCTCTGTCTTTTCTCCTGGAACCATTTCCCAGGATGACAATTATTTTCCTCCTTTTAAAAGTATGCTTTTTTTTTTTTCTTTTTAGAAAAGCAAGATAGAGCCACAATGTCTGCTAATATAATTACCCACTATGCTTTTACCAAGTTGCATGGCTAATGGATGGAAAAAAATATAATCAATATGGTTTCTACTTTAAATATGGAAACATATTGATGCCCACCTTGTAGGAGAGGCACTAGGGGCACTTTGACACAGGATTTGAATATGAATCTGGGGCCTTTTATCAGCCCTCTTCAGAGGCCTCCCCTGACCACCCTTCCTCCTTCCCCTCCCTGTTATGTAACACCAAAATCGAAGAGGTCTTCTATTGCACTCAAGATCTCATTCCTTTTACATTTTTTCCTCTTTCTCTCACTTGGCACAGGGATGCATTGCTTTTCTGAAGCTTTTTATAATGTAGAAGATTAATGTCTTTCATGGGCGTATTCCTGCTGCTTTCCCTCTGAGTTTCTTGTGAATATTTGCATCTGATGTAATTTGTCAGAAGCGAATGGCTGTCAGGGTCCCACGCTACCTTCTCCCCTCCCCCCATTCTTTCTGGCTCCCTCACCCACTTGTGTGTCTTACCCCAGGCCAGACACTTGGCTGCCCTTCAGGATGCATCCTGATTCTGTTTACAGGTAAGGAAGCACCACATCCAGAGGCCTGGAGAGAATGGGGGGCACGGCAGTTAATCATCACGGGCCTGTGGCAGCCCAACACAAACAAGTTACTTGTTGGCTTCCTCTGGAATTTGATGTCACAATCAGCTTGTTGTTTTCTGATTTTGGCAGACACTGAAGCCAGGAAGACTCTATATTATGTTTATTTCCATCCACTGAAGTAAGGTTGCCTCCTGCAAAAAATAAAAAAATAAAAAAAAACAAAACCAGTGAATACTGAAGAGGCTGAACGTGTCATTGACCACATGTTCTATCCGGACTCGGAGTACCAGAGAATGGACCAACTTTTCTCAAATGCTTTTCTATCGCCTGAGCTACTTTGTAAATGCTTTTTAAGGGCTTTCATTTAGTTGGGTTCTATTTTGCAGGGATTCCAAGTGTGTGCCTAACGTGGTTTTGCGCACAAGAAAACTCAAGAGATGATTAAAAAAAAAATCAATGGCACCAAGTCTTGGATTAAAGATCCATGCTTTCTTTAAACCACAAATAAAGATAATTGACTTTTAATTTTATTTAACAAATTGGCTTTTCTTAAATTTAATTATAGTAAAGTGGTTGAAATATGATAGGACTATAAGTACATGGTAGAAAAATTCAGGTTTCAATCCCTTATTTATTCACTTACAATCTAAGCAGAAAATATTGCTTGAATAATTATTCTCTGCCAGTCACTATGCTAACTGCTGAGGAGGCTCAGGGCTGCCAAGCAAGATTTTTCAACTGATTTAATTTTGTGTTTTATAGCTCTTTAATGAGATAAGAATTTAATAAAATCATATAATAAATGGTTGAGAAAAATAGAAATAGGGAATTACTTGAAGTAAAAAAATAAAACTGCCTCCTTCTCATTTTCCTGAGGGGCAGACATATTGATAATTTGAAGAATATTCCCTTGTCCAAATATATTTTTCTAAATATGCAATTATTTAATGCAAATAGAATCACATTATACAAAAATTTCTTGAAGTGCTTTCATCTACCAATGTTTTGTGGATTTTTTTGAGTGCCAGGACTTTGTGAGTTTCTTTATTGTTTTTTGGGTTAGTGCAATATACCATTATGTGAATGTACTGAAACTCTCTTTAACCTGTCCTCTATTGAAACCACTTGCTTGTTTTGCTCCTATTGTTGTTCTTTTAATTTTGTTTCTTTCAATTTACAAATAATGCCACAATGAACTTCTGTGCACATTTATCTTAAAACACATTTCTAACATTGTGGAATTACTGGGTAACATGTATTTCAGTGGTGGTGGTGGGGTTATTGGGGATTGAACCCAGGGGCACTTTATCACTGAGTTGCATTCCCAGCCCCTTCTTCTTCTTCTTTTTTTTTTTTTTTTTTTTGAGATAGTCTCACTATAAGTTCCTTAGGATCTTGCTAAATTGCTAAGGCTGGCTTTGAACTTGTGATCTTACTGCCTTAGCCTCCAGAGCTGCTGGGATTACAGATGAGTACCACTGAGCCCAGCAACATGTATATTTTATGATATGTGTATGAGAATTCTTATTTTTTTCCCTTGGGATTGCCAATGTAATATTGTATTGCCAACCAACAATTTTATGTTTACCAACCAGTATGTACTTTTAAAAATCTTTGCCATTGCCTTAGTCTGCTTGTGCTCCTATATTACAAAATACCACAGGTTGGGCATTTTATAAATGATAGGAATTTATTTCTCACCGTTCTGAAGGCTGGGGATTTCAAGATCAAGTTTCTGGCATATTTGGTATTTGATGAAACCTTGCTCATCATTGATGGTACCAAGTAAGCTTAATTTTATCAAGCGATTCGATATTTTATGAACTTTTATTAACTTGTAAGCTTTAATGTCTTAAGCCGTTTATATTAGATACTATTATAGTTTGGCTCTGGAATGTCCCCAAAGGCTCATGTGTTGAAGGGTGGTTGTCAATAGGTGGCTCTATTGGGAGGTGATGGAAAGTCTAGGAGGTGGGGCCTAGTGGAGGAAGTGGGTCACTGGAAGCATGCCCTGAAAGGATGTACTTGAACCTGGACCCTTACCTTGTCTTCTCTCTCTCTCTCTCTCCCTTTTCTGTGGCCTCCATGAGGTAAGCAGCTCTGCTTCACCATGTCTTCTTTGTTAAGATGCTGTGCTTCACCACAGACCCAGAAAACAGTGGTACCAAGTGGCCATTGGGGACTGAAACCTCTGAAACCATGGGCTAAATATATATCTTCCTTCCTTTAAGTTGATTACTGTTAGGTGTTTGTGTTTTGTTACAGTGACTGACAGAAAGCTGACTACCTTAGATACTATCTTTTAACTTCCAATATGTAGGAAGAAAAAAATTAGCACCTTATGCATTCATTAATATAGCAATACTTTAGTCCCCTCAGGATTATTTTTATACCTGAGTTCTTTGCTTTCTCCTAGATTGATCTTGAGTATTTAAAACTAATAAATAGAATTTGTAATATTTTAATTATAAAACAATTATTCAGAGCGGAGCCAGTTAAACTAGATTTGGGAATGTCAGCAGTGTTTCAAATCTGTTCCTCACAGAGTATTGCAAGCTTCAGCATCAAAAAGGCATTCTTTCTTTCCCTTTTGTTAACATGACCTTCAAGTACAACTTTTTTCCCTTCCTCCTAGAGTTTCTAGTTGCCTCTCTTTTGTCCTCATTAAATAAGAGCTTATTCATTTATAGTTTTCCATTCATAGTTTCTCCTTTTTCCTGAAAATTATCAATGAGATATTGTGGGATATTCAGGTTTTGGACCTCTCTAAGCTCTTTGTTTTTTTTTTGATAAATTAATATTTTAAAAATATTATTAACTTTACCCATGTATTCAATTATGCTAAAAGATGTTAAGCAAAGTAGTTTCTTATATGTCCTTTTTGTGTTTGATTATGCTCCCTTTGTGGTTTTACTTCTGTGTATTCATGGGGTTTTTTCTTACTTAAGCAAACTAGCATTTATTATTATTAGTGTGTTTCAAACACTGTCTTGAACTTATCTTTTCAATTTTATTTGCTCCCCTTTTTCCATTCATTAATTTTTAATTTTGTCTTCATTATCTCTTATTTTTCTTAAGATTTTACTGCTGTTATTTTCCTAATTTTTAAAGTTCATATGAAGTTTTCTCTATACAAAAGTGTCTGTAATATTGTGATATAATACTCAGCATGTATCTGGTTTTTGTCCTTAGTTTCTGGCACAGAATTCTTAAAACCCTTACAATTTCCTGAGAAATGGAGGTGCTAGGTGTATTTCTTTTTCTATGATTTGGTCTTTGACCCAAATTGCTAACACAGATCTCCTAACCTCCTGGATTTTCCTTGGTGTCTTTTTGATGGGCTCCTGACTAGAAGCTAGTCACTATAAAGACCAACCATGACTGCAATTTACAGCATCACCTCCCATCCTCCAAGAAGGGAAGAAGGACTGAAGATTTAGTTAATAGTTGACAATGCCTGTGTGATAAATTGCAAAAATACTCCACAAAACCCTCCAAATCCCAATGGGATGCAGAGATGCTGAACATGAGGAGGTTCTGAAAGGGTGGTGGGTTTGGAGAAAGCATGGCATCCCTATCTCAACACCCCTTCCTTCCTACTTTGCCCCAATTATTTCTTCCATCTGGCTGTTCATCTGTATGCTTTGTAATATGGATTAAGTCAATGGATGAATAAGTTTCCCTGAGTTCTGTGAGCTCTCCTAGAAAATTATTGAAGCTAAAAGGAGTGTAGTGGAAATCCCAATCTATAACAGTCCTATGGATCACAACCTGGGTCTTGCCACTGGCATTTGAAGTGAAGACAGTCTTGTGGGACTGAGCTTTTAACCTGTGCAAATTGACTCTGTCTCCAGGTAGATGGTGTAAGAGTTGAGTTAAATTGTAGCACACCCAGCTGGAGTCCGAAAAACAGTTTGGTTTTTCCAATCTCAAGATTGCCTACATACCTTTTGGAAAAAAAAAGATATTCCACAAGGAATACTATGTAGCATGATAAAGAATTAATTTTTGGAAGATCAATTCTCAATAAGAAATTTATTAATAATTTATGGATACTTCAGGGCTTCTTTGTTCACCCAAAACATTTTTCCCACTGAAAGAGGAGGAATGTTGAACAGTAAGGCTACCTTTAGGAACACATTGCCCTTCTTCTGTTCTCACTCCTCTGATCTGTTGCCTTTGGTTTGAATATTGTACATTACGTTTGTATATTATTTAATGCTCTTTTGTGAAAGCAAATAAAAAATATTATGGCTGTTGCGGTTTAGATATTAGATGTCCCAAAAGCTCATGTGTGAGACAATGTAGGAAAGTTAGAGGTAAATTGATTGGGTGATAATTGCATTAATCCTCTGATTGGCATTAACTGAGTGGTAACTGGAGGCAGGTAGGGTGTGTCTGATGGAAATGGGTCATTGGAGGAGTGACTTTGGGGTTCATATTTTTGAGAAGTGCTTTCTTTTTCTGCTTCCTGATGATTGTATGAGCTGCTTTCCTCCATTACACCCTTCCACCATGATGTTCTGCATAGCCTCAAGCCCCAAGGAATAAAGCCAGCTATCTATGGACTGAAATCACTGAAACCATGAGCCCAAATAAACTTTTCCTCCTCTAAAATTGTTCTTGGCATGTCTTTTAGTCAAAGCAATGAAAAAGCTGACTAAATCAATGGCTTTAGGGTTAAATCTTAATCTCTCATCAACTGTATCAATTAGGATTCTTTCAAGAAATATACAATGTGCTGAAAATAGAGAATTTGCAAAGAGGATTTACTAAGGGACCATTTACAAAGGTATGGTTAACATGCCATGAAATGACAAAGAACAGTTTAGAAACTCGTGCCCAGTAATAGTGGGCAGTACTGCTATTTTCTGCAGGCCTGAAGGGGTGAGGCAAGGCAGAGGCGCCTAGGATCTGGAGTCAGTGAGTTGTGTGGAGTGCCCAACTGACTTAAGCTGTGATCTCTGATCAAGGGAAGCAGGGGCCTGCCTTGGCCTTCCAGAGAAGAAGCAAGAGAATAAATAACCCAGACAGCACGCTCCTCTTCTGACTTCTGTCAGCACTTCCCATGGTCTGTGACCAGTGGGAAGCAAGAAGGGAACAGGGCCTGTTGATATAATCTCTGAGTAAATCTTGTAAGGCAGAGAGAAATGTGGAGAAGGATGGAGAATGGCTATGAAAGAGCAAGCCA